TATTCTTATTATTATTATTTATTATTATTATTATTAGGCCTATTATTATTACTATCATTAGGCCTATTATCATTAGGCCTATTATTATTATTATTATTATTATTATTAGGCCTATTATTATTACTATCATTAGGCCTATTATCATTATTATTATTATAGGACTATATAAAATGCTCAACTGCTCTGTATATTTGAAAAGGGGAAGTGTGCAACCGGCCCCCGGAATGCTCAACTGCTCTGTATATTTGAAAAGGGGAAGTGTGCAACCGGCCCCCGCCGAAATTATTTAAAAATTAATTCAAAAATGGAGGAAAAAATGAATATTTTATTCATATTTAAGTCGTTTCCGGCCATCTAGAACATGGACCATTGAGGTGACATACCGGTAATCATAATTCTATATGTGAAAGTCCCCCCTGGATCCCCTCTATTTCGAATTTCTGGATCCGTCACTATGTAGTAGCTTTATATGATATCGACATCATGGAATTAACCATCCATGAAGATATAATATCAGTATTGATAAAGACGGTGTCATTTGGCCCTACCTCGATCACTTTCGCTGTCCTTTAAAAAATAATATAGAAAATATTTTTGTCGAGCTATAACCTGGGCTATAACAAATTTCGATTATTCAAGTTTAAAAGTTATGCACCAGATAATTATAGACCCTTGGTAATAAATTGCATATAATGCCAATTAAAATAAAACAGATATGACTCTGCAATGTAAACAACGAACGGAAGTTAGCAAGCCCCAAGCTGTAATTACTGTAAATAACGTTTCTTTAGCCAGTTTTCAGGTCTTTGGTGGTTTTAGCAATTCACTTTGGATGTATGTTGTTGAATAGAATGCAGCTATGTCAGTGCATGCTTCTGTCGAGGAAACTGTCAATGCCTTCAATGCAGCTACCTAACAAACTTAGTAAAAACAATAACTATAAAATGATGGCAGAATTCCCATTTAACTAGTGAATTAACGATGCAAAATGTTCAATGCTGTACTCACATTTGTTATTAATTGTAAAGTCTCCTTCGTAGTCCATTGAGTACCGGTAATGTTTATATGTAAAACGCCACCTGGAGTGGTACAAAAACAATTAATTATTCTTTTTCTAATGCGCCATTCCTTAATGACGATAAGAATGATGAGGGTGATGATGATAATGATAATAATAATAATAATAATAATAATAATAATAATAATAATAATAATAATAATAATAATAATAATAATAATAATAATAATAATAATAATAATAATAATATAATAATAATAATAATAATAATAATAATAATAATAATAATAATAATAATAATAATAATAATAATAATAAAAATGATGATGATGGTGGTGGTTATGATGATGATGATGACGGTTGATGATTACGATGATGATGGCGATGATGATGATAATTATTATCATGTTGATGATTGTAGGATAAGAATCGACTTTAAAAAAATGACTCCGATGGAATCAGTATAGGCTGTTATGTGACAATCCAAATTTATCACCCTTTTAAAGTGAGCGACATTCATTTTTGTAAAGTATGTATTTGTTATTTCCCGGCAGAGGAGCCATTTTTTCAAACATGGTGTTGTGTCCGCCCCTTGAGGGGACCGGGTAGTGGCTCTACTGGTTACCAGCATGAGCGCAGATCACGGGGAGACGGGGGACACGTCTCTGCCCACTAATATATGAATTATCTGTAATAAACTACTAGAGTGCGCGTGCCTTATTAAAATTTGAGAAGTATAAGCAAAAAGTATAAGATTGGTTTTCGGCACACGAAGTACAGTAGGTAAATTAAAGTAAATACATCAAAGACAATTAAGTTTTATTTTCTTTGGTACAATACAGAAGTTAATTAGATCTCTATTATTGCCGAAAATTGCAGATAAAATATCATGGTGATGTGATGATGATGAATTTTACTATATAACAGTGTCATTTCTTGAGGCATTATTCCCGAATCATGATGGGGCTGAGGTGGGTGTGGACTCACGGCCATGAAATAAGTAAAGTAAATACATTAAAAAAAATGTTTTTAAGTTTTATTTTCTATAGTACATCACGCATATTAATTAGATCTCTATGGCTGTGGAAAATCGATGATAAAAGATCAGGAGAAATTTGTTGGCGCTTCATTTTTCCTATGGTAATGTGATGATGACGAATGTTACTATATTAAATTGACATTTCCGGCCATGAGAGGTAGGGGCCCTACTATTTTCCTCAATTTTCGCACCTCAGCACATGGGTGTGGATTTACATTATTGAAGTGATAAAGTAAAGTAAATACATCAAAGACAATGTTTTTAAGTCTTATTTTCTATGGTCTCCTCACACGTACTAATGAGTCTATGGTTGCCGAAAATTGATGAAAAGAGCTCATGAGAAATTTGTTGGCGCTTCATTTTGGCTATAATGGTGATGTGATGATGAATTTTATTAAAGATTGTCATTTTCTGCTCTCTAGAGTTACTATTTCCTCAAATTTTCGCACCTCAGCCCAACCATAGTGGGGCTGAGGTGGGTATGGACTCTCCACAACCCCGCTCTTATAATGGCCAGACCACTTACAAATGCTTCAGACACCTATGTTATATAAAATACTTTATAATAGGTTTATACATACCGTACACATATTCATTAAACAGATGGGATGGACGGTTTTCTCACACAGTTGTTGTGCTTCGTTAATTCGCCGTGACCCCGTCGCTGTTCCAATCGTCGTGCACGACGTTGCGCAAAAAATGATGACGTCACATGGTTGAAACCAGTCAGTTGAGGTGAATCTCGAAGCAGTCTGTGTGTGATTTCTTCCTGGCATGTACATAGGAATACACGGCATCTTCAACCTCACAACTTTTAAACCCATTCACCGGTATATTAAAATAATGTTTACTTTGTCGGAAATAATGCGTTTGGCTTGGTCATCGGGTAAGTAATAGTATTTCTGTAGAAAAAAAACATAGATATAGATTACGTAACATTATGAGTAATAATACATAATTATTACTTTACAAGACAAGAAATATACTTAAATTAACAATTCACTTAGGCCTATATAAAAAAAATATATTTTTATGTTTTTAAATGAATATTTGAAGAGCATTATGGAAGAATATCACCAACATGCACGTTTTGTTCTCCATGTACTGTAGGCCTATTACAAAAAAATATATCTTAAACTTCTAAAGACGTTTTTGTCATGTTTGTTTATGCCATGCAGCCAGTGCTTTGCAGGATTTCAATCCAGGTCATTAACACTAACACTAGCCCTAACCTCCAAAACCTCCAAGCTACAACTTCATTCTATACTGAAGTGAATTAATAATGGTCATATTATGTGTGATGTAACAAGCGGTAAGCGTATTTTAATTGAATTTGCTCCATTCTATAGAATATATCAAAATCTAGGTTCGTATATATTTGTGTAAAGGAACGACGTAAATATTTCGATGTACAGTGGATGTTAAGAACGTACGGTGTCGGTTTGTGTAAAGGGTCGTCGTGGAGGATACGGTACACGT